GCCATTTTTGAATTCAAAAATAAGGAGTAGAAGAAAGTGATAGAGATTTGGTAGAATTGAGGGGTCTTTTCGGAAAGAAATCACAGCTTTTTTGGTAGGCTGGAGAGTATAAAGAAGAAATTGAGAAATTTTAGAAGATAGAAGATGCAAAATGGTAAAAGATAAAGGTGAGAATTATTTATAGGTTCAAAGCGACGGCGGTTCATTACCAGCAGTGGCCGACCACCGCCTGACATGCATTAAATGCCTTGAAAGACTAAACCGACAGGACAGCTATCATATGCGTCATGGTCGAACTTGATGGAATCGACAAGATATAATCCGATCAAGCCGTTGAAAATCATATCGTTTCTCGTCATATTTCTTTCTGAGAAACGAGGGGACTATCTATATACGACCGAAATAGATTTCAGCCTTGGCATGTCCGGTACGGTTCGAATGGTGGTATATCGAAGTAAGATCCCGAAGGGGGGCACGAACTAACCTAGAGTCCGGGGAGGCGGGTCCGTGTTGAGATCGATATCATAATCAAACTCGAACAAGAATCGAACCATGGCGCGGGTAGATCTATCGTGCTGATAATCCGAAAACCAGCCTACATCGACCTGGAATCCATCCGAGGGCTCGAACTAGGATCGGGCTCGAACCAAGATCACGAGTTCGAGCCGAAATCAAGCTCGAACCAAAATCGAGGATTCTAAGCAAGATCGAGCTCGCAGGCAAAAGCCATTGTAATCCCACTAGAGGGAATCTTGGCAGAAATTATGGGAAAACTGATTTATCATGGGTCTCCCACTGGATGTTTATTTTATTATACTTGTAGCCAAACCCCTTCACTATAAAAGGGCTTGTTTATCATTCTTGTAGGGCATCCTTTGAAGGGGACATAGACTACCACAAACTGTATTATTTCCTCTATAAGAAAAGAGTGATCTTTCTAGTTTCTGAGATTGATTATATTTTGTAAAATCCTAAATTCACTGTTCATAATTGATTCGCCTGGATTACGTTTTCTCCAATCTATATTCATCCTTTTATTTATCCTAGCATTCTGTATTAAGTTGTACTACATATCTTCGAAACTGCGTATAAATTCAACTCTATCCATTTTTCGAAAAAATAAAGGGCACAATGACTGCTTTTCTTTAATAATTATAAAGGGATGCCTGGTGATAAATATTAATCATGGATAAACAAGAACACAATAATTTTTTAAGAGACAAAATCTAATGATGTTAAGAATCACCACATTCCATCAACTTTTCAAATCAACAATAACTGCATAATGATTTCCCATTTCTCTTTCTTTGAAACCATTTTGTCGGAATACTCAACCTTAAGTAACGACAAGCTCATTATACTAGAAAAGGATGTTGAACTCATGTTACACCACTCATTGATTGAATCATTTGTTAATCACTCAATTAACTTGTTAAGCACTGTCACCTATTTGGCCTCCATATTTCCCATTAACAATGTGTAAAAACGTGATTCAGTTCTAGTTGGGGAAAAAAGACGATTTTAAACTTACAGATTTAGTTAAGAGGATATACGACGTCGTACACACAATGCTTATACCGACAGCATAGTTAACGAATCAGATTCGTTTTAATAATTTCGGTTTATGATCAAACCATTCTGATTTCAGCCCAACAAATTGGGCTAGGGTTTTAAACCCAGCCGAATCCCATACTCCTCGCTCTCACGCTCCCAAAGGCGCGTGCAGATATGACCTTCTCAGATATCAACATTGGGAACTATCACATAAATTTGCTTCAACTCTATTTTCTCACACTCTCACACTTCACGTCAATTTGACTTCTCTCTCTCTCTCTCTCTCTCTCTCTCTCTCTCTCTCTCTCTCTCTCTTTCTCGTAAAAGCCGAAGAGATGAATTCTCAGATTTGCAGATCTGCTTCCCGAGCTGCTAAGTCTCTCATTTCTGCCTCCAAGCAGGGTTCTCGTGCTTTTTCTGGTAAATTTTTCATTCCATTTCTTCATTTTCATTGCTAATTATGTGACTTATAATCTGAGGATGTATTGATGTTTGTAATTGCAATCATTTTTAATTGATGGATTTTGAGCTGGTTATTTAAAAAAATGTGCAGTTTTGAGCTTTTAATGTAAAATTTATATATACTCAGAAATTATGTAAAAGTACCATAAGAATCAAAATCGATTTAGTGAATAATATTTTAGAAAATGCTTCAAAACTAGTAATGAGAGAAGGAGCTATTTTACTTTTGAGTAGTATATATGTTTCGCGTTTAGAAAATATTCTAGTATATATATATATTGTAAATGTTTTAGTTATAGATTGTGGTTGTTACTTGTTTCAACATTTATATTCGTGTATAAAAGAGGATTAATTTTGATCTTTAGTATACTGTGGATCCAACATGTGCATCTGCCTCAAACTTGGACTATATATTTGTATTTAAAAAATTAAGTAGAAAAGCTAAAATTTGTATATATTTTTAGTGGTGTACCTGTGGCTTCAAATTATGGATTTACCTCCCACTGATTTGTATGACTAATGTATTGTACGTCTTCTTGTTCTAGTGATCAAGATAGTGTTTCTTTTGCAACTTGTTTAAGTCACCTAGCTTTGCTAATTGAAGATGATCCATTTTCCTGTGTTTGATTACTTGTTGGGAATGGATCCCTTATGTGTCATTTATGTTTAAAGACTATATATATGTGCTTATATAAAAAGGGCTGATTTCCATTAAAAGGGAATACTAATTAGAAGAGTCCGAATAAAAGATGTATTTCTGAGCTATCTTTGTTGCAGGGGGGCGAGCGGCAGCTGCAGCAGCCACAGTTTCTTTGAGAGGAGTGGTGCCTTCTCTAGCCTCATATGGCAGGACGGAATCTGGAAATGCATCTAGAGCTTGGATTTCTGGTGTCCTTGCCCTTCCTGCAGCAGGTTTGTATTATAATGTTGCTCCTCGAGCTTATTTCTCATGGACTTGTTGCACGCCCATATGTGAAGCCTCTTGTGGCAAAATTTTGATTTTTGAGTGAACTTCTTTCCTGTACCAGTGTACCTTTTCTAGGAAGTAGTTATTGCCATTTATGTGCCTATGTACGCCTTGCTAGGACAATTACAACAAGAGTCGTGTCAAAACCTCGTCTGCTCCTATTTGAGGAGCCAGAAATACTCAGTTCTATTACCGGTTTTCCTTATTTCTGTTTTTGGTTTCGTGGTGGGGCTAGGGGAAAAGGTCTTCGTATTAAGAAAGTAAAATTCCATGAAAGTGTGAGGGTTAAGTACCATCACCTATACTTAGAGGAATAATGGTTAATTGCTTCATGTGGCTCAGAGTAAAGTTCTTTTCTTTTTCTCCTTATAGTTAATGTGGTGCAAGTGGGAAATCAGAAGAAGGGGAGTCTTGTCTCTTGCTTAATATTGGCATTATGGCATCTGGAACCTATTCTATAACAAATAGTCAATGCTCGTGCAGGGGTATGGGGTGAAATTGTTTGTTGTACTTGTGCTCATAATATGAGCATTTCGTTCCATTTCTCCCGTACAAAAGCTATAACTTGTCCTCCTTTGTTTCTCATTTTGGTTATATACGCATCTCGAGTCATAAGAATGTTCACTCACATCTCTCCTTTTCAATGCACAAGCTACTTATCTTCTCAAAAAAAAAACACCTCACTCACATTCTCTTCTCCTCTATCCTTTAGCACATGCATATACAGAGTGTTTTAAGAGTGAAATCATGTTTGAACTTGTTTAAAAAGAAAAGGAAGAATAGAATCATATTACAAGTGATTAGGAGTGTCAATGCTTCGGTTCGGCCGGTTATTTTATGAAATTTATACCATAGCAAATTTTCGGTTATTCCAACCAAAATTAGACTTTTCGAAATCGTTCCAATCATCTCGGATTCTCTTCGATATCGGTACGGTTCGATTAATTTTTCGGTATTTTCTTAAAAATGTCATGCAAGAGTCGCTAGTCGAAGTTAGAATTCGATAATGTTTACTTGCATAGGACTTTGGCAAAACTCTCTAGACATTTTTACTATTTTAAAAGTGATGATCAAAGGAACATGAAAGACGTCCAGAATAGAGATTCATCCTACTATTCAATGATAACGTAAAATAAATTAAGCAAAAACAAGAAAAATATAAATCATGCGAGTGGAAAGATACTAATCAAAGTTTGGGACTCAAGAATAGAGCTTATTGAAAGATTAGTAACCAACAAAAGAAATCTAAATTATACGAGAAGGAAAGATATTCAATACCTTGTGGCTTGCTACTGAAGATCGCTGGAATACCTAGTGGCTTGCTACTCAAGATGAGTAGTAGAATAGGTTTGAAAGTTGAAACTTTGGATATTAATTATTTGGTCACTTGTAGGTTGTAGCCATTTCCATAATCCCAAGACCCATGGAAAAAAAACTTAATGAATATAAAATATATTTTTCATATATAAATTTATTCGGTACGGTTATGTATTTTTTCGGTTTATTTTTATAAAACTAAAAACCTACCCTATTATTCGGTATGGTTATAAGTTTATATAAAAACTTACGATTTTATTAAAATAAACCTAATAATCGGTTCGGTTCGGTGTAGTCGGTTTTCAAAGATCCATTGTCACCTCTACGAGTGATCACGGCAATTGCTTTGTTTCCTTATCGGGAAAATAGTAACTTGTATTCTAATTTCACCTTTTCCCTCTCTTCATTGTTTAGCTTACATGCTCCAAGAGCAAGAAGCACATGCTGCTCAGGTACCCTATACTCAGCCTTCCTCTTGATTGAGGTGTTATATCATTCTTTTTTTTTTTAATCACATTCATTCTTTTTAATAACATACATAATCTGTTTTTCCCTTCTTTTAAGATGGAGCGCACCTTTATTGCCATCAAGCCAGATGGAGTGCAGAGGGGCCTGGTATGATAACTGGTTTTCATTGCTGCTTCCTTTACTTATATAACCTCACATTAATGTGCTTCCCCTATTGAAGTGGCAGCTTAAGTACTTGCCATTTTCATATTTTGATGCCTTTTCCTTCTCTTCATCTCTAGTCACAATCCTACCGTCTAGCACTCGTGTGATGGGAAAATATATTCTCTTTCTGATTGGTTGATAAATTGTTGTTGCATTTTAGATTTCAGAAATCATAGCACGCTTTGAGCGCAAGGGTTTCAAGCTGGTTGCAATCAAAGTTGTGATTCCTTCCAAGGAATTTGCGCAGAAGCACTATCATGACTTGTCAGAGAGACCATTCTTTAATGGCCTATGTGATTTCCTTAGCTCTGGCCCTGTCCTAGCAATGGTTAGATAAATTTTAACAGTCAAATGTCATTTTACTTTTTTGCCAAAACTGTTTCTTTATGAGTAACTCCATACAACTTTTCTTCAGGTTTGGGAAGGTGAAGGAGTAATCAGATATGGAAGGAAGCTTATCGGAGCCACAGATCCACAAAAATCCGAACCTGGAACCATCAGAGGTGACTTAGCTGTTGTAGTCGGAAGGTAATAAATTTTTTCCCTTGATTCCAAAGTCGTTCTGCTCGTATGATTTCATAATAATGTTAACACAAGCTGCTTTACAGGAACATCATCCATGGTAGCGATGGACCCGAGACTGCCAAGGATGAGATCAACCTATGGTTTAAACCAGAAGAGTTGGTTAATTACACAAGCAATTCAGAGAAGTGGGTATATGGTGACAACTGAGCGAACGTATTCTACCTTAATCTAAATTGCCATTAGATCGGCATGAAGGGGTAGCATACTCATAATTTATCAGAATAAATCGGATGCCATTTTTCCTTAGGCTGGTAGCAACTTTACCTCTAGCATACTGTTACGTGAATCACTCCAATAATCATTTGTACTCAAATATTGGACCCATTTTTCGTGAACATCTTTTTTCCTGTTCCCAATGGGAAGATCAGTTGGAACTATTGATCCATTTTGCTTTTACTTTAACTAACTCGTTAACACTACGTTATGGATTGTGGCATGTTATAAGTCGCACCCTTTTGCATCATTGACACTCGCTTCCAACTCCTATTTAACTCGCACCTAGTTTGCAAAACGATTATTGTACAGGTCCTCCATCTCCCATTACTTGTTGGGATTTTTTTCCAAATACTCAATAGTTTTTAATAATAATACTAGCAATTTTGGCATACGCGACTCTAGGGGTGGCAAACGGGCGGGTCGAATATGGATGGGTCAAAATGGGTAATGCAAAAAAGGCAAAAATGGATAATTATCTGACCCGATCCATTTTGCCACTACACGACACATTGACGTTTACATGAGAGATAGTGTCAAAAATAACTTCCACGCGGATTTGTTTATTGGCCGGATTTCCTCGTGGCGGAATGCAAGATAGTTGTGGTCCGGCCCTTCCCCAGATCCCGCGCATAGCGAGAGATTAGTGCCAGGGGCGGCCCAACGGTGTTTGGGGCCTAAAGCCAAACTTCAATGAGGGGCCCTAAATTTTTCGGTATTAAAAAACTTATTTAGTAAAATTTTATTTAAAGTTTATTTTTCTAGTTTTTTGAGATGTAAAATTATTAATAATTTATTTATAATCGATTTCTTGACTAGGATTATATATGTTTCCACTTTCTAGGATTATTATTCAATTCTTTTAGGATTTCCTGATTTTCTAAAAAATCTGTGACTCACGAATTTCTTCTTCTTCTTTGATTCCATTGTCTGTCTAACTCAACTATATTAGTGATTTGTTCATCTACCACAAAATTTTCCCTAATTTTTTATTTAAAATTTTATTGTTCGTTAAAAATTTATCAAGCGCTCCTTTTTGGGATTGTATTAAAGTTCTAATTCTTCCATTTTTTGGCATTTTTAATCCGCGGATTCATATTTTCTTGTTGACATATTAAAATTCATAATAAATAAATAAAAAGATGATACATATACTTACAAACAAAAGATATCAAAAAATAACAAATTCTAGATGCAAAGTAATAAGAAAAGTACGGAACAATTGAACCTGGTTTAACAAACAGTTATAGATAACTTGATATTACTTTTGTTGCTTCAATATTTTTGGTGCAATGCCGGGAAAGCTTGACAAAAAAGGGTTGGAATTGCCTTTTGCTATCTTACTTGACGGAATGTTTTATGAGATAGTGGACTTGTAAAGAAAGACAGAGTAATCAAAGTAATGTGGGCCTCATGATAATGATGATAGTGTATAAAGGAGTCAAGAAACATATTGACACATAAAGTTTAGGGCTGAATCCCAAAAGTAACTATTACCAAATTATCTCTTATTTCCTTTTTCATGAAAAATGCATCTTTTTTTGATATATTAGATATTTTTAAAAAAAAATTATAATATGCAGCTATTTAATATTAAAAAATTTTGGGCCCCCATAGATATGGGGCCTCAAGCGGTTGCTTGAGTTGCCTTACCATCGGATCGCCCCTGATTAGTGCACCGGCCTGCCTTTATTTTTTTGAATGTAGGATAGTTGTGAAGTGCTTTTTGATTCGATTAGAAGTGGTATGAGGGTGCTTACCTGCTTGGTAAAAATAAAAATAAGTCCCATTTCGGTTTTGAGGTACAATATTAATTCGGATGATGGTAGAAGATGAGAAAAGATCAACGAGTTCTGAACGACTGAATTTGGTATACAACTAGACGGTAATAGCATTTCTAAGTAGAAAAGGTAGTCCTAATTCCTATGATGCATCTTTATTCTTGTTGTTTAACCATTAAGTATTTGGACGTTCTTTTTTAAAGGGGAAACCTACCAACCATGAATTTTTTCATTCCGAGGACTCTAACCAATTTATTGAGATGATGGTAGAAGATGAGAAAAGCAAGAACATGCATTAATCAAAAATGGTTACGTGATAAAATTTTATGTGCAAATATCTTTTTATTAATTTGGTATAAATAATGAGCGTGGGTAAATTTTACCAAGTATATAATGATAAGGTGGGAAAAGAAAAGGAAAACCAAAATGTTTTTACGTTTCAAAGGCATAGACGGTTTTAAGACAACTGAAAAATGGGGTGGCCTATACGTCTCTTTTAGGAAAAAAGAATAAAAATATTGCAGTCAAAACTCTCTATAACAATTGTGTTTGTTTCGATATTTTTTGACTGCTATATTAAGTAAAATCCTATTATAGAGAATATATAATATAACATAATATGAAAAAATAATTCCAAAGAAAACTTGGTTGTTATAGTGAATGTTATTATAAAAGATAACAGTTATAAAGAGGTTTGATTGTACTTGATACGTCTAACTTTTTTGTCACTCTACTATTTGGAACTTAAAAATATAAAACCCTGAAGATTGAAGTAATACTAGAACAATGAATAACCATGTGATATAGTAAAACAAACCTAAGAATATAATTAGTTAGTACCATCAACATATGTGGTGGGATTGATAGAATCAATCCGCTATTAAATAAATATTTTGGGTTCGAGTCTTAGGGATCGAAAAAAGGCAGAGAGTGCTTCCCTAATAGGCTCGATCATGATTACTTGGCTAATGGGTTCCGAATACAAGATGATAAACTAAAACAATGATAATACTTATTTAGTGACTTAATTACAATATTCATGCGTTGTAGGGTTCTCGGAAACACGTTGATATAGATTTATTTCAAATACCCAAAAGTAAGGGGGTGTAGCTCATATGGTAGAGCGCTCGCTTCGCATGCGAGAGGCACGGGGTTCGATTCCCCGCACCTCCATTTTTTTCACTCTTTTTCCAATTTTTTGTAGCACCACATGGCCTTTTTTTTTTTTTTTTTTTTTTTTTTTTTTTTTTTTGAGATAAATAAAAGAATTTTTATTACCATTTTTTTGAAGAATTTTATTACCACTGCCAATCTGTAAAAATTAAGCTTTGCAGGTGTAGCCTTTATTACATATTATTCTTGTTTATAGAGTATTAATTTCACTTGTTACGAATAGTCACATTTATTTACCTTTTAGATGATCTAATAATATAAAATTCTTCTATATTATAAGTGTAAAGAAGTTAAACTCGTCATTTTATCATTCTTTTGGCATTTTTTGTAAAGATACACTTATGTTGTTCATGTCAACAGAACTGATACATGAATTTGTGGGCCGCAAGTAGGGGTGTAAATGGATATTTAAAAATTGACTAAACCGATCAAACCGTACAGCACCGAACCAATTTTTATGTTTCTTTTAATAAAATCGTAGGTTTTTATATAATCGTACCGATAATTAGGTTAAGTTTTTTATTTTATGAAAATAAATCAAAAGAATACCAAACCGTACCGAATAAATTTATATGAAAAAAATATATTTATATATTAACTTTAATAATAATAAAGCATTAACATTTTTCTTGGGCCTTGAAATTATGAAAACGATTACAAGCCAACAAGTAATTAAATTCAAAATCCTTATTCACAAACATATTATACTACTATTGAAACTAAATTATCTTCAGTATATTCATTAGCATGACACAAGGTATTCTAGCAATTATGAGTAGCAAACTACAATGTATTGAATATTTTTTCTTTCGTATGATTTAAATTTATATTTTTAAATATTTAATCTTTTATAGACTTTATTCTTTAGTCCCAACTTACTTAATATCTTTCCACTCGTGTGATTTATATTTTCTTTGTCTTTGCTTAGTTTCTTTTACACTATTTTAGAATAGTTGATGGATCTATACTCTGACCTTCTTTCATATTTTCTTAATTCATCAGCCTTTAAATAGTAAAAATATCTAGAGAGTTTTGCTAAGTCCTATAAAAGTGCGTATGTTGTTGCATTCTGCTTCTACTAGTGACTTTTAAGTGACATTTAAAAAAATACGAAAAATTAACCGTACCGCTATCGAAGAGAAACCGACATGATTTGTATGGTTTCTAAAAGTTTAATTTTGGTTATACATTATAGAATAACCAAAAAATTGGTATGATATAAATTTTATAAATTAACTGACCGAACCGAACCAAAGATTCTACTGTTCAAGTCTTAATGTGATGTTTAGCATTGACTACGTAATGAATAAAAAAGGAATATATATGGAAGAAAGAAAAGTAGACAAAAGTTACTTCACTTCGACATTATTGAATTTTGAATAAGAAAATAAAAAGAAACAGACTGTTCCTGCTATAAATCTTAGGTTATCAATTATCATATTTTCTTTCCTTTTCTTTTCCTACGAATATACTGGAGAATTATTAAATACGAAAATCAATATATCTAATTTTGTGTAAATCTTAAATATCAATATATTCATTGATAATTTTGGTGCACTTTACATATTTAGAAATTACATAAAGAGTAATATAGGCCACACATTTTTATAGTTACACACTCTAATTTAAATAAATCATAGTTAAAACAATTGTTCAACTCTTCAAATGGTAGTAATATCAACCAAATTTCCCTATTAAAATATAAATCTATTTTTTCCTTCATTCTCAAAGGTAATGAATCACCAAAATTGCTCTCTTAAATAAATCTTCATTGTAAGAACTATTTATTTTTTTAAATATTTAATCCTTAGAAGTTAGCTCCTAATCCACATTCATCTTTTAATCTTTCTTTGTCCTTCTAATTACATGTAAAATTCGTGGTCCAATTAGGAAGCTAGGTCGGTTGCCTTCTAACTAGTAGTTATTCTAGTTATGAAGTTAGGTAAACATCGCTATATTCAAACTTTTTCAAAAAGTGAGATATATGAGAGAAAATATCACGAAATATATACATTTGTATTTACCACGAATAAATCAATTTATAATCATGAGAGCTGCAGTATAAATTAAAGTAAAAATATACTTTACCTAACCATGGGATTAAGTAAAAAAATATTGTATACGGTCAAAATAGATTTTGGCTTTCCTACGTTCGATCGAGATCGAGTGGTAAGAAATCGGAGTAGGATTTTGGGAGTAAGCTCCGAAGACGGTACAAACGAGCCTCGA